TCCCACATGGAACAACTAGAAGGACCCACAACGAAGAATATACAACTATGTACTGGGGGGCTTTGGGGAGAAAAAGGAAAAAATAAAATCTTTAAAAAAAAAAACAATGACAAACAAACACATAGCATTGGTGATTGGATTGGTGGTTACCATAGGGGAAGGGGGGAAGGACGAGGGCAAAAAGGGTGATTTGGCTCACGTGTGTGGTGATGGATTATAGTTAAGTCTTTGGGTGGTGAACATGATGTAATCTACACAGAATCCAAAATACATTATGATGTACACCTGAAATTTATATAATGTTATAAACCAACGTTACTGCAATAAAATAATAAATTTTTAAAAATATATATATATATTTTTACATATATATATATATATATGTAAACATAGCTCTCTGGAAGAATACTGAAAAGAACTTTTGAAATGATACCAGTAAGGAAAAAACTCAAAGGTTCTGATTCTGAGCAAGTTACAGAACGATATTTTAAGTTTGCCTTGATAGCCATTTGTCTGGAAAATTTACATGTGCCTTTTCCTGAAGGAAGGAAAATGAACCAGGAACCCTTTGCTTTTCTGGTAATGGCCCAAAGGAAACTGATGTAAATAGCTAAATAATTTAGGGCACAAATTATTTAGGCCACAGCAAGCTGGCGAACTAATTTATCTGAGAAATTGTGTTGTGTTACCTTGACTTACAAAACCAAATTCATTTATGAAAGTGTTAGCCATTACAAATTCTGAGAAACCTTGTAAAGCTTCTGTTTGGCAAATGAGAACAGTTGGGAAAATAAATAAGCGTGGAGAAAAGAGCTAAAATATCTTATTCAAACAAGAAATTATGATAACCATGAAAATCGAAGTATCTGAACAAATGTCCATTCTCAAGTTTGCCAGAGATGTAACCGTCAGGATCAGAGCACCATTCTCGAAAAAATGTTGAGAAGAAGCCCATGCAGTGGGTGACAGTAACACATTTTCTGTTGGAGCCTCTAAAGCGAGGATCAGCCAGGTCAGCGGACCCCGCCTTCCCAGTTTGAGGTAGAATCCTGGCAGGATTTACGGCTAAAACTAGGTGCTTCCCTGGAAATTCATCCAGAATCATACCAAGTTCTGCTGAGTCATCACCTCCCACGCTGAGACAGCAATTAAGCCATTAGAGCTCTTTCTGGCTTGTCCTGGATGGGATATGTCACGTCTCTGGACCTTGGCTTTCTCACAAAGTGTGGGGGCCATCTGCTTTACCCTGTCTGCCCTTTGATGACTGTCAGTGGAGGCTGGTGTTGCTCCTAAAATTCTGGCACATTCCCACAGACCTTCTAGCTAAGCCGCCACTTAGCTCTTGGTCACGTCTTCTTATCATCTCCCCAACATCTGGGCTCAGAAGTAACACGAGGAAGCTGAGGCTTCACATGAGGCTCAGGGAACCTGTTTGATCAAATCTATTAAAGCCAAACTTATGCCTGCTTCACGGCCTAGTGATTCTACCGCAAAGTATACACCCGAGGAAATGTGCGTATCTCCTGCAGAGGATGGGTGCTCATAATGGGGAAAAACTGGAAAAACCCAAATGTCCATCAATAGGACCATGGATAAACTGTGACTTATTCATATATGATTACACAGCAATCAAGAAAATAAACATTTTTACATTCAACCGTATTGATAGATATAATATTGAGTGAAAAGAGGCTAGACACCAAAGGTGCATATAAGTGATTACATTTATAGAAGCTCAAGAATAGGAAGCAGAAATCTGCGGTGAAAGAGGTCAGAATAGGGGTTACTTCTAGGGAAAATGGTGGGTATTGACTGGGAGAGGACATAAATGGACCTCCTGGAATGCTGTGGATATCCTAGATATTTGTCCTAATAGTGACTGCATGGGTATATATGTAGGTAAAAATTCTAATGATCTATGTATTTCTGTAAGTATATTCTATTACCAAAAATATTCTAAGGCAGAGGCTTTTGAGACTCAGGACTTCAGTCTTAAAATGGTGAGGAATAAGGGAGATTTCAGTTAGAGATGGAGGTCAGAGCCCTCAGGCCTCAGTGCTCGGCATTCAACACTGCTCAGGATTCAGAGGCTACACATGAAATATCTGCGAGTGAGTAATGATAATCGTTACCATCTGTGAAGCACTTTCTAGGTGCCAGGCTCTAGACAAAGCATTTTGCAAACACGACCTCATTTAATCTCATGATAACTTTATAAGGTAGGTGCTGTCAATATCTCCATTTTACAGAATAATGACGTGTCTTACCCAAGGTCATGCTACAAGGAGTGGTAAGTCAGGATGCTAAGTGGATCTGTCCAGGATGGAGGGACAGAATGGAAAAGAATGGGTTTTCCAGGTTCCTCCGCTGTGAGCCTTTACATTTGTTGGTAAGAGATTCATGAAAACTTGAGGAAAAGAAACTCGTCTCTTTCCCTAGGCAGCCAAGCCATCAATACACTAAAGTGAGCATAGCTCTCAGGGAACAAATCAGGTCCAGGTGGAGAGTAGCTTCTGCTTTTGTCAGCCAGTACTTTTCCTCCCTTTCTTCTGAAACAAGGATGGAGCTTGTGACCCAACAGGGGCCAACAGAGTCTCTTCTTTGGGCACAGGAAGCCCCAGCACTGGCGCACTAAGGTGGAAGGGGCAAGAGTCAATCATCACGCAAGGGCCAGAAGCTCCTGTGGCCGAGGCCGAGGGGCCGCCTGCCCCTGCCTTTCCCACACCTGCTGTGCCACTTCCCTTTCCCTTCTGTGAACTGCCCCAGCATCATTTCAAAATCCTGTGTTACTAACAGTTACGGCTCTTGGCTAGAATAAAAGGATGCCAATTTGAACCAGCTTAAGTAAAAAGAGGAATTGGTCAGAAAGATCTGGGGGGTCTCACAATTGTCAAAGATAGAGACTCAGACCCCAAAATGGAACCCAGAACCATGGCCTGGAGCCCAGTGGGGAGCCTGGAGGTCCCTCTCTGCATCATTCCCCCTGCTTTCCCCACACATCTGCTCTTTGCTTCCCTGTTACTACAGACCAGCCTCCTCTGCTCCTCTATCCTCAAGGTAAGATGCAGTCACCCTGCTCCCAGGGTTTATATGTTCCGGCTCATGGGCCCAGCAAGAAGCCCACCTCTAGCTCTTACTCCCAAACCAAAATCTCAAGGAAAGGACTGACTGACCAGCTTGTATCAAATGCCCCAGACCGAGTGAATGTGGCAGGGGGTCAGGATCATGTGGAAACATGGCAACTCCTACCACAATCATGTGGATGGATGGGAGGAGAAGAAACTAGTAGAAAACAGATGGTGGACAACAATTTGGTGGGCACCCACCACACGGCCTAACTTAACCAATCCTTCAACCATGGGGCAAACATCAGCTTTGGAGCTAGAGGGACTAGCTCCACCATTTGTCAGTTGTGTGATGTTGGACAAGTTATTCGACTTCCCCAAGCCTCTGTTTCCTTATCTGCAAAGTGGGGATAATAATACCTACCTCATGGTGTCGTTGAGAGGATTTAATGAGACAGAACATGTACAGCAGCTAGTCCACCACCTGACACCCTAAGTGGGGAATAGTTCTAATCTTATTTTGAACCTCAAAACAATCACAGGAGGCCTGAGAGTGCCTTGCATGTACTGAATTGTTTTGCTGAAGTGGAGGTTTTCCTATGCTCTGCAGCCTGTTAACTTAGGGTATTTCACAGGGGCATCTCATGCTTCCAAAAATTTGTTTCCAAAAAATACATGTAAGCTATCTTCATGCTTGTTGCAAAAAAAAAGGGAGAGGTCAAGAGTGTAACATGCTGCAGGTACCCATGCTCATCCCTCCCTATGAAGAAGATAACAGTAAACTTCATCCTCAGGATGTTTGAATTTGTTGAATGGTGAGCAGTAAGTGTGGACAGTTATCAGTGATAAGCTATAAATAAGAAAGTTCTGAAGAGGCCAAAAAGCTTCTCAGACCATGGGGGGGCCGTTCTGGGTGTCAGGAGAGGCAGGTGGGAAGTTCCTGTTTCCTATTCTCTCTTTGCATAGATTAATGAGAACAACATCCTATTCTAGGAAATCCTAGAGTATCTCAAACATACATCATTCTAGGACTGACTTAATACCTTGAACAAGTTGGCATCACGTTATCAATATCAAGATGGTATTTTCAGAAAACAGAGACAACAGATATTGACTTTGAAGGTAGCATGTCAAGGCTTTGAGAAAGTGTCTTGTTAAGAGAAAAGGCCAGTCTCCTGAAGTTTATCAGTGTGACATATCAAGGCTTAGGATTCCCAGCACAGTCAACAACCAACATCTCACTCACATCAGGATCTACAATAACTCCCATTCACTGAGGCTGAATGAGGAAGGCCAGAGAAATTGCTCCATCTACAAAGCTTGCTAGAAATTATTGCAAGTGTGTCTATACTATTCAGATTTAAAGTAGCATTTTGTTTACAAAAAATTATAAACAGCCACCCACAGATGATTAACATTTTATATTGAATAACTGTTCCTCACGTAAACAAAGAATTTATCTGCAGCCTAAAATTTTAGCCTACATTTTAGGATATGAGATGATTCAGGTTTTCTTTAAATTAAACCATTTTAAACTGAAAAAGCAGGGATTTCCTCTTTTTTCCCCCCATGGCCCTGAGCTAACACCTGTTGCCAATCTTCCTCTTTTTGTTTAAGGAACATTGTTGCTAAGCTAATATCTGTGGTAATCTTCCTCTATTTTGTGTGTGGGACGCCTCCACAGCATAGCTTGCTGAGCGGTGCATAGGTCCACACCCAGGATCCAAACCCATGAAGCTCAGGCTGCCAAAGAGGAGCACACGAACTTAACCACTAAGCCACCAGGCTGGGCCCAGGGGATTTCCTCTTTAGCATTGTGAAAAACACAGTGTGCTCACATGAGAATCATAGAAACCCACCCAGCACAGGAAACTGTTGCCAAGCAAGGACTCTCTCCACCTGTGCACACAGAAGCTGATACTGCACACACAAGTCTTTAAGGGAAGAAAGTTTATTATGCAATCGATTGGCAAGGAGATAGGAGGACATGCTCTCAAACCTGTCTCCCGGATCCAGGGTATAGGGTAGGGTTTAAGGGATTAGAGAGGGTAGGCTGGTATGCAGAAGCTCTGGCAGGAGTTTCAATTGGCAGATCAAAATTTTCTCTTCTCTGTGCATACTCCTGGCTGGCTGGCCACCCCTGAAAAATAGTCTTAACGTTCTGTTAAGATGAGGTCAGCACAGTAAACAAGGGTAAAGTTGTTATGTAGATTTAAGTCATTGCGTTTTCTACTGATGAGAGTTTCTGGGCAGTTAGTCATCTTCTCCTTCCTGGCACAGAGAAGAAGCCACCCTTACAAATGGAGATTTCTCTTATAAATGTAGATTTCCCTTACAAATGGGTAACTCCTACCAGGTTTTCAGAGCATTTCCCTGTGTCTGCTGTTTCTTAAAAATAATCAGCCTAAAATAATTCTTATGCCAAAAAGGCATATTTTGGGGTGACAAATTCTGTTCCTGGTCGTGTGGTTACAAAACCTCTTTACAACAGTTCTGCAGATGATCATCCAGCCTCTCACTTCATGCTTTGAGATGAGCTACTCACCGACTGATGAGGTGTCCGTGCCATCGTTTGCCTTGTTTAGATTTATACTCATGGGTACTTATGTTTCTGCAGGAAAACAGAACAAGCCTGTCTTTCGTAACAAAATACTCTTTCAAAGATGTGACAATGAGCATCATGCCCACCCTATCTTCTTTATACACTCAACAAGATGTTTTTTTCCAGGCCCCTTACATCTTGAACACCTTCTTCTAATTTGTTAGCATCTCTCTTGAAACTCCGTATTGGGAACTGAACTGAATAATACAGCACGAGACATGGAGGAAGTTTCTGGTTGAGGGATGTGGCCAGGGGCTTCCAGGATGATGTGAGTTTTCTTTAGAAACAACATCACATCGTTGGCTACTGCTTTCAAAACATCAGAAAATGAACTGCTTTCTCTGAGACGGGATATTTTACTTGCACTCTTACAGACCATTTCCACTTTTCTTTAGAGCTACATATATTTAAGTAGTTATATTATAGGCCAGCACTGACCTTAAACCAAATCGTTCGTAAAGGAATCGATTGCTGATGCTGGTCAGGAAATGGGTCTTTGTTGGTAGGCAAAAAGGTCACGAGAGGGCTTTTACAGAAGAAAACTAAAGAAAATGTCTTTCAAATGGGGAATTCTCTATGAGAAAGAGGAACAATAAAAAATGATGCGGACAGCAATTTCCTGCACTGGAGGAAAAATAATGAGCCATGAAAAGAGGGAAAGTCAGATAAAATTACATTTGTTGTGCTAATTAGGTGACACACTGTGCCCAAGACTGGATAAAATAAAAGGGAAGGAAAAGCGACACACCATTTCTGATGCCAGAACTCTGATTTAAAGGAGACGGACAGCCCAGGCACCACTCACCAGAGGATTCACTTCAAGGAAAGATGCGGTTAGAATGATGGGTTTTGTAATCAACCCGTGGACAATGGAGCTGACAGAATCCTGTGAAAGATTTATAGTGAGAAGCATGGTCCCGGGAGCAGGTCTCCAACTTTTTGAAAAATTCAAAACATCCTCATTGCTTTTTCCTCTCTCTCTTTGAATAGATCTCAGCTACAGTTGGTAAAACTGTAGGTAGGAGGACAAAAACTACTCTTCAAAGAAGGATAACTGACAAAACTCGAGCGTTTGGCCTGAAAATTAGAATGGTGGCTGTTACACAATGGTAAGAAATTATGTACTTTCCGATGACGATGAGGTAATTAGGTCATGAGGGTGGAGCCTCATTAAAGAGATCCCAAAGAGCTTACCCCTTCTGCCATGTGGGAACACAGAAAGAACCAGGAACCAGGAACCAGGCCTTCACCAGACTCCAAATCTGCCAGCATCATGATCTTGGACTTGCCAACTTTCAGAACTGTGGGAATTAAATGTTTGTCGTTTAAGCCCCTCAGTCTATGGTCTTTTTGTGGTAGCAGCCTGAACTGATTAAGACAGATGATAACCTAGTGGCTGTGGAAATGTTCCAGAAAAGAACCACGAGGTATGTATTCTCACACCCCTCAGAAATACAGTTTCTTGTATCATGAGAGGAGCTTCTGGTTAGTGTAACTCCATGTGAATTTCCTCAAGTTTTCATTTGAGTAAACACACCTGCCCTCTCCCCACAAACACCCGAAACCACTTTTTAGCGCTCCTGGGAATAGCTGAAGTTTTAAAAAGAACATTTGTACCTGAGTGATTTCAAGAAGTGTAATTCCAGAGCACACTTTTTGATATATATGTGAGGCATGAAGTTCATGCTCTATATCCACTCTGAGAATTCTTGGACTACCTTGACAGTCACCATTTTCTCTTTCTCATCATTTTCCCTCCCAAATATCAGCGTTCTATCATTTCCACCAGCTCTCAGTCACCTCTGCTCTCCTCTGGGACTAATCTTCTGGCTGTAAGCCTGCATCACAGCCTATTACACGAGATCTTCAGTTCCCTTGTGGACTCTATAACGTTAACAAGGATATTCCTCGTTACATCTTTGAAGCCATGGATTTCAACCCCAGCTGCACATTAGAATCACTTGGAAAGCTTTTTAAAAATGCAAATGCCAAGGCCTCAACCTCAAAGATTCTAATTTAATCAAGGGCCCTGACAGCTATAATTTCTTTCTTTTTTTTTTTCTTGCTAGGGAAGATTTTTCCTGAGCTAACATCTGTTGCCAACCTGCCTCTATTTTGTATGTGAGCCACTGTCATAGCATGGCTACTGATAGATGAGTGGTATAGGTCTGCGCCCAGCAACTGAGCCCGGGCCACTGAAGCAGAGCACACCAAACTTCACCTCTAGACCACTGGGGCTGGCCTGACATCGGTAATACTTAAAAGCTTTCAGGTGATTCAAATAGGTAGCCAAGGTTAAGAATTATTGTTCTAATGCCCCAACATACCTGCAAGCTGTGATGTATGCTGTCAGTAACAGGTTCTCATGACTGCAGCCATTTTCATGGGGCAGTGGGAGGGAGAGTCCTAGAGAGAGAGCCTCTAACAATGAGACCCGGAACACCCTCCAGAATAAACAGAATCAAGAATTAAATGTCTGATGAAACACGATCTTAAAATTCACAGGAAAAAATAAACTCACAAGAATGGTTAAGAAAAGACTGACAAGGAAGAGTTCTGAGGAGAACCAGTCCAACCAGATAATAAAACATATCACAAGGCCTCTGTAATTAAAACAGTGTAGCATTGGCACATGAATAGACAAACAAATCAAAAAAATAGCCTGGAAAGTCCAGAAACAGACCCAACTGCATATAAACATCAAGAGTATGATAAAGGAGGTATCTCAAATTACTGGAGCAAAGGTGGTCATTTGTAGAAAATGGTTTTGGGACAACTGGGTAGCCATTTGGAAAAAATTAGATCCATTCCTTGTACCAGAGAAAAGAATAAGCTGCAAATGGATCAGAGATCTAAATGTAACTGTACAAGCATGAGAAGAAAACATGAGGGAAACCCTCTTTAACTTTGGAGTAGAGAAAGGCTTTATAACTACGGTGCAAAATCCAGAGGCAATAAAAGACTGATAAATTTGACTCCATAAAGGAAAAAATAAAAACTTTTCCATGGTCAAAAATACCATAACCAAAGTCAAAAGAGAAATGTAAAACTGAGAATAAGTATTTGCAACATACATCAGAGATAAAAAGCTAACATCCCCAGTTTATTTTTTAAAAACTTTAAAATTGAGAAAAAATGTTTAACTTCGCTCATAATAAGTGAAATGAAAATTAATCAATGAAATTGGTTACCTATAAGCGGGGAGGGGGGAGACAGAAATGGGAAGAGTGGTGCTTCTGAGTACACCTTCAAGTATAGTTTTGACTTTTTTTTTTTCTTTTTTGCTGAGGAAGATTTATCTTGAGCTAACATCCATGACAATCTTCCTTTATTTTTTAGTGTGTGGCTGCCAGCACAGCATGGCCCCTAACAGCACAGGGTAGCTCCGTGCCAGAAACCTAACCCAGGCTGCAGAAGCAGAGCACGCTGAACTTAACAACTAGGCCACCAGGCTGGCCTTAGTTTTGACTTTTGAAAGCATATTGATCTTGCTTACATCTAAATCTAAACCTTGCCGGATGTCCCCAGGGCAGTGAAGTGCTGGCCCCCGTCTCCGCACCATCTCTTCTCCCCCAACACCCTGAGAAGACCCTTATCATGTGGAAACTGCATTCTAGTAAACGTAGCAACATTTTCCCCCATTTTTTCCTCTAAGCTCCTAAAATGGCAGTGGCCTCAGTCATGTTTATATCCCCAGTTCCTGCTAAAGAGACTAGCACTTGACAAATGTTTGTTGAATAAACTGAATTGCATGTCTTTTGTTACAGGCCACCAAAGTGATGCGTGGAAAGAAGAGTGTAAACAAATAGGAAATTCGTTGGGTAGTAGGCAGTAGGTCTGCCTCTCAGAAAAAAGAACAGTCCTCGGTGCAAATGCCCCTTTGTGAATATTAGGTGTCACAGTAGAAAATAAGGAAGGGACCCATATTATAACCGATATGAACTAGCTGGTTTGACTTGTGGAAAATAAACCTCTGGTGCTGCCTTTCAGGGTGAGTGAGATTTTGTGAGAAAAAGCAGCTAATTATTGGGTGATTAATTATGGCACTGTCTTGTCTAGAAATGGAAGAAGAGTATAGTGAGTTTTGTTTACCTACAGAGAAAGCAGATAAGAATATTAAAGCAAATTTTAAGCACAAATCATATTCCCCAGAAGTTATTTACTAACCCGACTTGAGTCTTTGCTGATTAAAGGTACTGATTAAAGTAGCCATGAACTGTTTGAGGTATGTTCAGCCAGCGATTTCTTATCCTCGCAAATTAAGGGGTGAGATGTTCCTTTGATCTTGCCACCTCTAAGGAGTTCATGTCTCATTCCTTCTCTCCAGGTCTGGTGTTCTTCCTCCTCCCAGGCAGTGTTAACAGCTTTTTTGGAATGTGGTTATAAAAGAGTCATCCCATTATACAGTTGGGGTCTGCATCCTTACCCAATACTCCAACTTTGCTGGAGTTTACCAAGTAGCATGCGTTCCTTTCCCTGAGCTTTTCTCACCACCTCTTAACTTGAGGCATAAAATCTATTGCTGGAGCAATTTCCCCTAAATACATTTCAGTTTGGCAGCTTACATACGGGGTACGCTTGTCATTGTGCCCCCTCTGCAGGTTCAGAGGTACTTTGGGTCTGCCCCCCAATGGACAGAGAATGCTGTCGCTCTGAGGTCACTGACTTTGCAGTCTGGGAGAATAAATCCGGTGCATCAGCAGAAGAGAAAAGCAAAGAGAAAACTAAAGGACAGAGAGGAAAGGGAGGCAACCAGAAGGGAAGATGGGAAGAGAAAGATCTAAAATAGCACGGGGTGGTAAGGAGTGGGAGGCCACAGGAACTGCCCCTTCTCCAGTTCTCCTAATATTAGGAAGGAGAACCTTGCTGAATAGAGTTCAGGATTCTTCCAGCAACTACTATCAAATGACAAAATATTCTAAAACCTAACATCACTTCTGCTTTAAAACCAGCAAGGTATAGAGAAGCTGTGTGACCTTCTTTGCATCTCAGGGTCCTCATCTGTTAAATGTCAAATACTTTTTTTTTCAAAGGGGAGCCTGTGAAAGACGGATTAGATCTATCTTGAGTGGTTCAAAGACCTTAGACTAGCAGTAAAAGCCGCAAGGAAATAGAGTTAGGGTGAATATAATAGAGATCTTTCAAATATTTAGAACTGTTTGAAAATGAGAGGCTCCCAGTAAGGGAATGAGCTTCCTCACATTCAATGAAATATTGAAAATGTTTAAGTTGAGAGGAACACGAGAGGGCAGGGCCTTGTATCTGTTTTGTTCACTGATGTCCCCCCGTGCCCAGAACAGTGCCTGGCCCACAGAAGTCACCAGGACATGCTGAATAAAGGAATGAGCATAGCCTGTAATCACTCTGAATGTAGGGCTACGATTTTATGATAGAGGTACAACAATAATTCTCAGTTCTGCTGAGTCTGTGTCAGTTCAGCAGCTCAGTTGGGAGTTTCAAAGGCCATGCTCATTTAAAGATTTTCCGTAGGTCAAATTCACAACACAAGAGGGTAATTCTACATCTTCAGACAAATGGGCACCAGATGGCCCTATCTCACGGCTACACGAGGAGTGCGGGGTAAACAGAAGATGAAATAGCCAACGCAACACAAACCAACCGACGAATCAAATGGGAGTTGAGGAGAGGGATGTGGGTGCTATTCAGGCACAGTTCCAAGTGGATCTGCAGTCAGGAATGCTCTCCTATTCATCTCTGTGTCTCTGAGGCTCAGCACACTGCCTGGTACGGAGTAGGTGCTCAAAAACCATTTGCTGAATTCAGTTGAACTGAAATTTATGTCTGAGAATCATCAAACTATTTGTCATCTCATTTCTCATTAGGTTCACAATTCAGTTCTATGTTTATTCACATGCTTATTTTGATTTAATTGCTTAATGTCTATCTCCCCAGCTACATTATAAACACCATGAGGGATGGTATCTCTTATTCATCACTGCCTACCACTGTATCCCGGTACATAGTATAGCACATAAGAGGAGCTCTGTTAATATTTGTCTAATGAACTGAATGCATACTGGAAGTAAATCCCCAGCATAATTGTGTAGATGAAAGAATTCTAGAATCATAGAATCTTTCAGCTGGAAGAAACCTTACCAATTCTTTTAGTTACTTATTATCAAGTCTGCCCATTTAGATCGAACAATTTAAGAATTGAAGCCATTGAATCTGCATAAGTAACAGTAGATGCAATAGTAAAGTGAAGGATGTTTCTTCCAAATTGATGTTCGGAAGTGCTCATGACAGTCCCAGCAAAGACTCAGCTTCAAGTTCAAAGGAAGCATTTTACTAGTCTACACTTCCATCTTCAAACAGATTTCACAATCAATCCAGGGGCTGCAGATTAATTAAATTAGTCCTCTTCTTCAGGCAATATAGGTGGTTTTGTCTGCTCGTTGCCGCTTCCACTAGAGGACAGGCTAGGCAGAGAAAAGAAACCAAGTCAAATTATGGGCATGAATGACGGCAGTTTTTAGAAATAGCCAGGCCTGGTGAGCAGGGTGGTATTTGGTAGCTCCAATACTATCTCCCTGGAGCTTTTCCACTCAGCTTCTTCACCAGCCCTCCACTCAAAGCTGTTCTATTTTTACCCCCAAAAGTTTGAATGTCTGTTACGGCAGTGCTACTCAAAGAGTGGTCCCTGAATCCATCTGTTACCAGTCTGTGACAAGATGAGAACCTACCCTAGAACATAAAGGAAAGAACTGAACTAAACAGTGTGCTTATTGACAAAATTGACTTCCATCCTGGCAGAAGATCTTTACCTGGTTGCAAATCAGTAACAAACATCTTTGGAGACTGGCACTTTTGAGTAGCATTGTGCTAAGGCATAAAATGGTATCTCCTCCCGGAGAGCTAAAGGATAAGAAGAAGCTTCAAACCAAAGCAACAATTCCCTCAGTGTGGGTTCTCACACACACAAATATTATTTCTAGAGCAAGTAGAACAGTACTTGAGGTTTGGGAAGGAACCACTGAAATGAGGTATCCTGGCATGACCAAGTCTCATATGTAGTAGGTGCATAAAACTATATAGATGCATTTTCTCCTGCCCCCTGCCCTAATCCAGTGTTTTCCAAAGGGCCATCTGCATTAAAATCACCTAAGGAGTTAATTAAACACATGCATCGCCAGGTCAACTGAATTCTAATCTAGACCTGGATTCTAGAATCTAGACGTAGAATCTATGAGACCTAGGAACTGAATGCTTAACAGGGATCCAAAAGACTTCTTCATGTACACTGAACCACTGGACTAGGTCAGCTGAGGCTGCAGAAAAGATCTCGTTGCTTACACAGTTTTATACCTGCAATAGGAACAAAAACAAAAACCAAAACAGGGCATCAAGTAGGAACTTTTTGTGCCTGCCACACTTATTTCAGAAAGTATGTTAGTACATTTTAGCTGATCAACTGATACAAACACCATTTATGCTATAAATAGACTGCCCTATAGCCTTCCATTTACTGTTTAAGCAAACTGAATGTATGGTAATTGCCAGGCCCATAATTAACTGCCATTAACCTCATAGGATGTTGACACTGGGTAGCCCATTTCTGAGTAAGATACTGCATATTTGATTACATTGAATTGAGAAACAATAGATCCTTTAGTTTTTTTTTATTTATTTTTTTTTTGATAGAACTTTCTCACCTGGAGAACCAGCCTGGAATTCAATCAGCCTTTTTCTCACTGAACGAAATTTCAAAACAATAGACTTCTTTCAAATGGCATTTCTCTCACAAGTCTCTAAATGACTGGCTTGCCAAACCCTGCTCAAGTTAGCAGGCTGAGTGGCACCAGTAGAAGTTAACTCATGTGGCCTCCCAGTGACCACATGCAATGGAATGTAGATTTAAAATCCCCTCACTACACTGCCTTGTCAACAATGATACCTCTATAAGATGGGCATGAGTCCAAGTGCTGGACCACAAAAGACAGCCTTTGTCTGGCG